AGATTATTTCTTATATAACTTGTATTGAAATTAAATAAAAAAAGGTTGATTAATGTTATGAATAAATTGAGCATGACTCAATTACAGTATTACTAGAATCAAATACACCTATGATATTTTCCAACTAGGACACTTTAAACTTGAATAACTCTTAGACGGATTGTCCGATTTTAAAGCGGTTTTTACTAAATTGTAACTGGGTAGTGTAGAATTTTTTTGGTGTGCTATATATCAAAATATTCATCAGGGTTAAAAAGTTATAGCGATAATATAAAAAAACTCAATTTTTCATAATAAATATCGTGGCGGAGGGAGGCCATACAAGTTATTAATCAATTACTTATTCATTTAATTTATATTTTTAAAAATAAAACTTATTTTTGATTCATTTTTCGGTTTTTATTTAATAACTTTTTAAACCTGGTGAATATTTTGACGTATAGCACACCAAAAAATTTCTACACTATCCAGTTACAATTTAGTGTAAACCGCTTTAAAATCGGACAATCCGTCTAAGAGTTATTCAAGTTTAAAGTGTCCTAGTTGGAAAATATCATAGGTGTATTTGATTCTAGTAATACTGTAATTGAGTCATGCTCAATTTATTCATAACATTAATCAACCTTTTTTTATTTAATTTCAATACAAGTTATATAAGAAATAATCTGCATTTCAATGCATTTATCTATAAGTTTATTCAAATTTAAAGTGTCCTAGTTGGAAAATATCATAGCTGTATATACGGTCATATTTTTAATATTCAATTTTATGAAAAGTGAACATGATTAAAGGATTCAATCATTATGTATATAAAGGTGGGTGTAGTCCACGACATGACATACCCGACCACATGGCTGTTGTCCAACTTTTTCATGATTGACAGCTCTCTGAGATATATCTTCTCATTTTCATTGAGTTGTTCTGTAATTAACAGTCATTTTGATTATAATAAAATCTTATTAAACCCATTTGCAATTCAATGTTACATGATAGTGCTGAGTTTTCAATGTTAGGATTCCCTACTCCCAACCCGCAACTTATATACCAAAATGTTATAAACTGGTCAGTTAGCATTAACCTTTAATTGAAGCCTTAATGACTTTTAATTGAAATACAAATTGTCATCCATTTTATCAACACTTGTTATAAATCAGACGATTAGTAAACAATTGAATGAATATTTTAAATCAATTCATAAATAATATGACAATTTTTTCAAATTATTAACCCCGGTATTATTAAGTCGTGGGTACGACTTGCAAATATTTTTTTAACCCAATACTAGCAGGTAACATATTATATGACTAATTGCAAAAGTGTGCTTTAAAGCAATTGTGAGAAGAAATTAACTATTATTACCTGTTTTACAATAATAAATATAATTTCAAAGATATTAACATTATATATGCATAGATAGTAAATATTATATTTAACATTCAATCAATGTTAAATTAAGTATAATTATTTGTATATTTTAATTTTAAAATATATTATTTAATATAAATTAAACTTATTATTGTAATTTAAATATTGATTAATATATTGATTAGATATATAATTAACAAATTTTTGTAATTATATTTATATCATTTATTTTGTAAATATAAAATGTCATTATTTATAGAAATACCAATTATAACCTAATTTTATAAGTCAAATAAATAAGTTTAAATTGTAATAATAGTATCATTTAAATCAAATATTTTGCAATAAATTACCAATTTTGGTGGATATGTATGTATACAGATTTTTGTGTTTATCATTTTGTAACTCATCAGTATAATCCAGGTACTCGGCCAAAACTGATTCCATATTAACAGGCTCAATTTCGCTCAGCATTTCTAGCAGTCGCTCACTATTTGGTCGAGCACTAAATTTAACCGTGACCATTTTATTTATAATATCGCGTAAAGTTTGAATCTTTCCAGTTACACTTGGTTCGGATAAACTGTGCAAATTATTAAAACAATTATTATAATATATTTACTACCTTTAAAACTAAATGAACAAGCATACTTACAGGTTATAGACAAATATTTTCTGGCCGCACATACCCAGGCTATACATATCGGCGGACTGTTTGTAGTGAGAACGCAAACCTTTACCAACTTCGGGCGCCCTATAAAAAGCGGAGCCTACTTCTGATGTATGTGTGACCGACCCTTCTACCACTTTAGCCAGACCAAAATCTGCTAGCTTCAATACGCCATTCTTGTCCATTAGAATATTGGATGGCTTGAGGTCCCGGTGCATAATGGGGTGGGGTTTGAATGAGTGGATATAGTGAACTCCCTGTGCTATCTCATAGAATATACTAAACGACACGAAGTACTCGAAATGGTTGGGCTCTACATTGTCGCCACATTTGGTCAGCCCTTTCATGGAGTTAATCAATGCATTCAAATCGCATTCACATAACTCCATCAATATATATGAAAAGCCATCCCTTGTCCACGACATGTTATACTCGACCACATGATTATCCTTCAGGTTCTTCATGATTGACAACTCTCTGAGTTGATCAGCAGTCAATTCATCAGGCTTCAATTGGTTTGCTAATGAATAATTAGATAACATTAAAAGTATATAATTATATACTAGTATATTAAAGAAAGTTCTTACACAAAACATTTTTTGGAAATTGTACTTTATAACATTAATCCAAAAATATACATTTGTTTGTATTTTCATTGTCTTTCTTTCCTCGATGACTCAGATTTGTTGCTATAGGGGTCTGGTTTGGGTTTGTTTTTGCTGTGGGAGGCTTGGTATTTCAATTATTTATGCTTATTCACCCCTAGTATTATTCCAAATAAGAATATTTAAAAGTTATGATATGGAAAATGTAGAGAATTTAATTCTCTATCGATTCCGAGCTAAACATTGGATTTTCAATAAAGTTTGTGGAAAGAAAAGCATTAAAAACTAATATTAAAAATATTTTGAATTTTTAAAATTTATAAAGTATTACCCATGCTAGAGCATCCTATCGATGTTATTTTAACAATTAGATTTTCCATTTGATAGGGTTATAAATTATAATAGTTCTGTATTTGTTTTCAATTGCAATAGCATACCAGCCCCAGTCCCATCCCCCTATAGCAACATATCTGAGTCTTGGAGGAAAGAAAGACAATGAAAATACAAAAAAAATTTTGTATTAATATTATAGTGTATATTCCAAGAAATGTTTTGTGCTAGGACTTTCTTTAATATCCTATGCAATACCTCAACGGTTTCAATTTATCTAATAACAAATTTAGTAGCATTGAGGGTATATATATTTATAAGGTATATTTACAATTTTATAGTTGGATTATTAAAGATTTATATTAAATACTTTTATTTTTGTGTTATATATTTCATTAAAAAGCAAACCTTTTATTGTTATTGTCTTGATGGCATACTCTTTTTTATCAATCTGATGTCTTGCTCTAAATATTTGGCTGTAATCACCTCGATATATCATATAAATACTTGATAAATAAAATTCCCTAGACAATATTTCATCGCTTTTAAATAAATGACGAAAATCGGAATATTTTTTCTGAAAATCTATAAATTGTACAAAATTAACGATTACCGTATTTCCTAATTTCTGGTTAATAAATATAGTATATAGTACCATTGTTAAATTCATTAATATTAGATAATAGATTTGTTATCAATGACAATTTGTAATTCTTCCAAAATGGATCAGTGTTCAAGGGAATGTTATTGTGTGTTAATTCAAATGTGAGATCATTTCCGATATTTTTAAAGTTAAACCATTTGTTATATTTTGACAACACTTCTCTACATTCCGGTCTTTTGTCGAAAAATGGGTAAGTAAGCATGGACAATAATATTTTTTGTAACCGAGATATTGGTCCATTAATATCGGGATTTAATGATGAATATAATCTGTTTAAAAATTATTTAGTACAGTATAAAAATTGTATTTATGTTAAATTAAGCATTAATACTGAATATTTCATTAACATGGAATAATTATGCCAAAATATTTTTAAAATAAATTTCATAATAAAATAATATTAACGTAACTAGAAAAATTTAAGTAAACTAATGCATATTATAAGTATAACAAAAAATTTATACTTATTAGTTACATATTTTGACAAATTAAAGTCAAAAAATTTTTCGCCAATTACAGCCAAACTATAAATATCACATTTGTGATCGTAGACCTTGCCTGCTAATATTTCGGGAGCAATATATCCAGGAGTACCAACGCAAGATGTAAGTTTGTTCTTGGTAAATTTATGAACACTTTTGTCATGAATTGTAGCCAATCCAAAATCACCTAACTTGATATGCCTGCCATCACTTGATTTTAGTGTAATTAATATGTTTGCGGGTTTGAGGTCTCTATGAATGATCTGTGGATCCAATTCATGCAAATACTGAACACATTCTAAGATCTCTCGGAATATTTCACAAGAAATGAAATACTCGCGAAAATCCATAGGTTCTCCCAACTTTCTGTTAAACACTTCCGGTTTGCGTTCAATAATATCCTTGAGGTTACCTGAACACAACTCCATTTGAAAATAGTAACAGTCTGTTTCAAGCCAACTTTCGTAAAGTTTTACACAATAAATTGAGTCCACCTTTGCTAAATTATCAGCTTCTTTGAATAGTTTCAATTTTTCATTTTCATCAAATTCTAAACATGTTAAAATATTTAATATTTAAAAATAATTAATATTCAGAGAAAATTCTATATTTAAATATACTTTTTAATTTAATAATTTTTATTGCATAAATGTCTCCTTCAATTTTATGTTTCGCCTTCATTACAATACCAAAATTCCCGTTATCAATTATATTAATTTCATCAAAAAATTTTTGATACTTATTTACATTTGATTTTGAAGTTTCTGAATATTCTAAAGATAAATTAAGTGATTAGATATATGCGAATATTATTAATATACATTGTAACAAATAAGTCACTGATATTTACTTTGGATAAAATTTCCAGACTCCTTTAGCGTATGAGTTAATATATTATTTTTTAAATAAATTTTATAAAAATAATTCCATTCACTACTATTAAGTGATTTAAACAATTTTATATTATTAAATGGAATAATTGGTTTGACAATTATTTGATGTAATTCCGATAAAATGTGCGAACATTCGGGTCTTTGCCTCCAATCTCTTGAACCGTTTTGGCGAAATTTATGGATATTCATTGACACCAATAATGCATTCATTTTATACAAAAAATCAGTAATATTCTTGTCACATTTTCTAATAATATCTCTCCTGCAAAATATTAATATATATAATTGAGACTCAAAGTGGCTTATTAGTATTTCTTAATTCAAATATAGACTGTATTATAAATAGTTAAATTTAAGTGCAGCACAAAGTCTTACCGACAATGTTTTGCCTAGGAATGGTACGAATAAATTCTTAATATAAAGATTTACATAAAATAATAATCAGCAAAATTTGTTGATTTTACTTAAAATTACTAAACTTTAAATAATAATAATTTTGAAATTTACTTTTACATTACGTAAAAAACAAAAAATATTTACTTTCCATCAAAAATATCGTATATATCGAAACCAAAAATTTGAGCCCCAATCATAGATAGACTATAGATATCTATCAAATGATTGTATCCATTTGTGTCCGTACCAACTTCAGGTGCCTGATATCTTAAATCTCCAACGTCTGAATACATAAGATCATTAACCACTTCTTTAGCCAAAAATAGACCACTCAAAATAATTCGTCCGTCCATTGAAATGAAAACATTTTCCAGTTTAAGGTCTCTATGAGTTATTGGTATATCTGATTCATGTAAATATTGGACACATTTTACCAGTTTATAAAATATATAATACGAAATATGAAATTCCAAAATATTCATTATTTCACTAAACAATGAATCCTTGATTTTTAAAACATTTGTCAAATTATCTAAACATAACTCCATTTGATGGTAAAGAAAATTGGATTCAACCCATGAATGGTAGTATTGAATCACAAACTTTGATCCAGGTTTTATTAGGTTTTGAGTTTCATTCAAAACGTATTGTTTCTCTTTATCTGTTAGACCTTTAAAATACAAATAATTTACTGTAATATAAATAGTATGTTTATATTTTTTATAGTTAATCTTAAGTTTAACAAAATTATAAAATTGAAATAATTTTTACCATTTAAAGTCAACTTCTTTAAAGCATAATATTTATTGTTGGATTTATCTTGAACTTTATATAATTCTCCCCAACCTCCATCACCAAGTTTATTAATAATATGAAAAGCATTTTCGAAGTTTAAATTATCCACTTTATTATCTATTTTATTTGTATTAAAATATTTAAAATAAAAATTATATTTAAATTCAAATGTATTTATAATATTAATATCGAAGAATTGTTAAAATTATTCGTTTTAATTATTAATTATTATTATTAACAATATACTGTATTATATGTTATAACTTTAATACGGTAAGATAATATAAAATAGCTTGTTATATTAATTTACTATTCCCTTTGTTTACTATAAATTTAAAAGCATAAAGTATTGTTAAATTATATTTGCAGTGAATGTCATTATTTATGAACGTGTATAAATTATGTGAAATTTAATAGAATATTATATTTACCATTTACTTCTTTTTCATTTAATATTAGCTCATTATTTTGCAAATTATAAACTCTAAGTGTAATAAATGTAATTTGAAATTCACGGGAACAGAATTCATCGAATGATTTATAAGTTGTTAAATTAATTTCTCTTGAATCAAGTTGGTATATTTTATCAACAGATAAGCAAGCAATTTTTGATGTATTACGATTATAGGAATACACTTGTTTTAGCTCAATAAAAATGGTATTATTTAATTTTGTCATTGTCTTATCATGAAGATCGTATAAATATATCAAACCGTCACTTGATAACATATATATATAATTAAATTCACTACACACATTTACAATATTGACTACATTATGCAATAATTGTGGCCTGTCCATATTATCAAGTTTATTACGACCGCACATAAACACGTGTCCATCCAATGTAATGGTGAATGACATAAATTCATTACATATAACCTTGCACATTGTATATTCTGTTGGAAAAATAATTTCCATAGGGATTGAGATTATATACATATTGCCACAGCCTAATAATCTCCATTTATTACAACCCCACCCAAACACCAGTCCACCTGTGGTTAGGGCTAGTGTATGATGAGAGCCACAACTTATTTGATCAATGTATAAATCATTTTCTTGGAAACTTGTTATTATGTATGGTTTATGATAGTTAACCTTGTTCACATCCCGTCCCAATTGTCCACAATTATTACAACCAAAACTAAATACCTGTTTGTCTGTATTGACAGCCAATACAAAGTCCAATCCATTGTAAAATTGTTGTATATTTTTGAGGTGTAGTTCCGGCACTTCCTGTGGTGTATGAGTGGGTGTGTTGTGTCCTAACCCGAGCTGACCCTCACTATTGGTTCCCAAAACGTACACCAAATCATCGGATGTCACAAACAGTATGTTATGTCCAACAGAGTCATCAAAAACATGAAATAATTTAATGTTTTGTTTTAGATTTTCTGGTATTTTATCACAAATCTTAAACAAATTTAAAACCGAACACATTTTTAAAGTTTAAATCAGTATTATATAAATATTTATTTAACAAACTTATTAAAATAATTAACTAAACCACATTTTTTATAAAAAAAATTGCAATTAATATAAAAATTTTATAAAAAATATGGGCGTTGTCGCACAATGGATACTAATACAATAAATGTAATACTATGTTTTAATAAGTTATGTTTATTACAGTTAAATGTTTTACAGCAAAAAAACGACATGATTATTGCTAGGCATTAGATTAAATTTTATATTTTATGAGTGTTTGTTAGATTTTCCATAGAAATACATATATGAGATATAAATGTTATGTAATTATATTGGGCATTTAATATCTATGAAAAATAATAGTTTAATAGTATCAAGTTTGTTCAAAAAGGTATTTTAAAAAGTATTACTCATCTTACTATTGATATCGTATTTAATTAATAACACAATAAAATCAATAATTTTAATTTTGCTAATTATTTGAAAATGTGTTGTTTACTATTTTGATAAATTAGCAAAATTCTGTGTACTTTTAAAAGTTAATACACCAATCGTATGGTAAAAATGGACAAGATAAGATGATAATTTTTAAATTATTCTATTTTATTGTTCATATTAAATTTTTATTATATTGTATTGACAATTTATTTATAATGACATACAAGCCAATCACCCTCCCGAGGCAATAAAACCTGTGTTATCACCAGGGTCACCATTAGCTTCATCTTGTCCTTGAGCCTAATTCGGAGTATTTTCATATATTATAATAAAATAATAATATATCAATTATATAATAAAAATTGTACTTAATGTATAAATGTATAATTAATACTTATGTGTATAATTTACAATAAATATTTATATCAATGAGCCTTATAAATGCATGCCTTTACTAATGCATCAAGTAACATAAGTGCTAATGATATGACAATAAGTTTGCGGGCAAACATTAGTGCAAACATTAGTATAATAATTAATTAATTAATAATAATATTAAAACAATGTCTGAAAAATATTTAAACAAATATTGAAACTTTCAATTGACGCAAACGCACGCAAAATTGTTGATTTTTAAAACTGTATTAAATTACATTGAAAGCAAATATCCTATTATAACATTGATTAAAAAGTTCTCCAATATTAAAATTATAAACTAAATATTAATTAATTATTAAATAAAAATTAAATTTAAAATTAAGATACATATATATTGATAGTAATCAGAAAATACCAGACCTTGACTTAGGTCTCGAGACACAAATATTTATAAAACGTAAAATATAATAAATTACAATAATTTATAATTGAATTATATATTTATTTTTGAAAATAACACTTAAAACATAACATGAAGTCTATCGATGCCGACCCCAACTCACTTCCACTGCAACCTAACTGGTCGTCCACTATGTAGGCATTAGCCGAGAAAAAGGTATCCTCTTTGCATGAACCGGCAGTTATCTCACCAAAATTCACCTCGTACATATTGTCTAATATTTAATAGTTAACAGGTAAATTATAGTTATTAAACTAAATAAAATTATTACAATTACATTTAAATAATATTATTAATGTTTTAAAAATTATAAAAATTAGCTAGCTATACCTGCATAAAAATAGCTATAATAATTATTAAGAATATTGCTATCATATTTTTATATTGTGTAATAAATCATACTAGCTCAAATATCAACATACCATACAAATAGGTATAGTATTGCGAGAAGTTGCCAATAGTCAGGTCCTGAACCCGGCCATTTACAGTGGCCGAGTAGGTAAATGGTGATACCCAGGCATATTATTTAAGTTGTCTAGCCGGGTGTAATTTTAAGAACTACTATCCCCATAGAATTAACATAAGTTTTTGTGTACTTTAAATAGATATTAACCCAATAGGATGAAAAAATGGACCATATAAGACTATAATTGATTGGCTTTCTGTGCGAGAGAACTATCTCTAAATACAAATATATGAATAGTTACTATGAGTTATATTATAAACTATAGGTAATGTATGAATCTAATGAATGTATGAATGGTTATGAAGGTATTAATGTATGAAAATTAGTTTTTGTATATTAATAATTAAATTAAACTAATATAATTTTTTGTATTTATATTTTTATGAATAACTGTAGTATTAAATACTATAAACTTTTATCACCTATTATACATTCATTAGATTCATACATTACCTATAGTTTATAATATAACTCATAGTAACTATTCATATATTTGTATTTAGAGATAGTTCTCTCGCACAGAAAGCCAATCAATTTTTATATTTTATTGTTCATGCTAATTTATCATTATATTATATTATATTGCATTTAATGTCACTAATATTTAGGTAGTATAACTGGTGAATAAATAATACACTCTTTACAGTAAATACAATTTAATTTTACATTAAAATATAAAAATAAATTACATAATAGTAACGTAGATATAAAACTCTCTATACACAAAAGCTTTGTAAAAAATAAAACTTAAACCTCAAAGTATAAATAAGTAATTAATAAACAAATTAACATTAGACTAATTAATCATGACAAATATTGTATAGGTACTTAGGCTCTTAAAACATTAAACTTATAAAGTATATTATACTGTATGACCTTGTTTTATAGT